GCTCCCCAACACCTGCTGGGGTCAAATTCTCCTCTGGCCTGAGCTCCAAATGCCCAGAAACTCTCTGAGCACATCTGGAAAGAGGAGCAAATTCTCTCTTACTCCTGGGTTATTTAAGAGATGTCTGGCTCCCTGATCTGCAACTGACAGCAGGACCCCCGTCTGTGTGGTTCAGGTCTCCTGAGCCCACCCCTGCCCAGCCCCTGCCCGGCCCCGAGCCCGGCCCTGTGCCCAGTACCATATCCAAACCCATGCCCAGCTCTGTGTCCAGCCCTGGGCCAAGTCTGATACGCAACAGTTTCTTGATTACATATTTATTGAATGAATGAATGGAATTTTGCCCAGATTTTGATGATAATTCTGCAAACCCTCTGAGCCCTCTGGCTGTGGTTCCTCTTTCCCTTTTTAGTCTATATTTTATCCTGTCTGTCTGCTGGGTTCTGGTTACTGCCAACAAACAAGGAAGCAGCAGGGTTCTTTCAACTTGCTTAGGAGGCAACGAGGGTAGGCTGGGCACCGCCACGCTGGGCTCGGGGTCCCATCTGGTCCTCACAGGGCCTGGACTTCACGTCAGAGAGCCAGAGCCATGCAGTCCACATGTGGAAATGGAAACAACCCCTAGGTGTTGCCTGAGCCCCTGTGCAGCTCACCCCATGCAGCTCACCTGGACACTCACACCAGTCTGACCCCAGACCCCTCCAGTTTTCCTCATGTGTCCTGAAATGTTCCAAATAGAGATGGGACAGAGAGCAGTAGAGGTATGGGGTGCCATGGATGTGTGGGCACCTCACAGGTGGGGACACAGTGGAGGTGGGGATGCCTTGGAGGTGAGGGCCACCGTGGAGGTGGGGGGCGCCAGAGAGGTGGGGGATGCTGTGGAGGTAGGTGCCCAGTCTGGGGGGCGGTCCTCAGGCAAGGTCTGAGGATGGACGATCCTTCCTAGAAGTGCTAGTATGAATTCCACCAGTGCTAGGGGAGCTTCATCCTGGGCTCTGCTGAGTCATGCTGGAAGCTGGTAGGTCACCTGGAAGACACAGCTGGGTCACTATCTCATATCCACAACCAAGAAAAATCCCAATAAGACTTAGATGAGGAATCAAAATTTAAAAGGTACTAGAAAAAACATGGCAATACATGGTCATACTGGAATGAATAAAGGCCAACTAGTACCACCCAACAGGCCACGAAGAAGACGACAGATGTGGGCACTCCAAAAGGCTTGTGGAAAGATGGGACTAAAGAGAATATGAATCTTTCCATTCACTTTTTGAAGACTCCTAGTATTTGACTACATAAAAATCCAAACATTCTGCATGACAAAAGCCACCATAAGTGAGACACGCAGGAGCCTGGGAGTGTTTGTAACCCTACTGCAGAGGCCTTCTGGGGGAGGAGCGGTTTTCACTCATCCTTCTAGAAGCCCTCAGAACTACACCAGCGGAACTGCTCAGCTGGCCCCTGTGCTGCGGAAGCTGGTTGCCATGATCAGTCGTGGATGATGGGTGGGTGGGTAGGAGACGCCAGGTGACAGACAGATTCTGCTGGCTCTGCACTCAGGCTACACGCCGCTCCTGTGAGCCGAGTTGGGGCAGCGGGCAGCTCTTGCTGTCAAGGAGGGCTCTGGAGGTGGGTGTGGGAAGGCAGAAGGCGAGGTGGGAGGAGGGAGCCGTGTGCAGGAGAGGGCAGGGAAGAGGGCGAGGAAACTCCTGGCCTTACTGCAAGTGTGGTAGGAGCCATGAGGGTCAAGGGGGCCCCACACTCAGGTCTGCAGTTTAAGGGGTCCCTCCCTCAGGCTGCTGGATGCAGAGGAGGCCAAGGGCAGGGGGCAGGGGACTGGCAGCACGGCCGGGCTTGGAGAGGACTGTTCAGAAAGGAGAGGAGGGTTCGGGGGTGCTGGCTGCCAGCAGACCCCCTTTGCCATCCCTGGCCCCCCACTGCTGAGCTATCCTCATGTGTCCTGAAATGTCTTTGCCTAATTTTGGTGTCTGGACTCCTGGGCCCCACAGAATGTTCCAGTCGCAACTCCATGGTTGGCCCAGCCTCCCTCAGCCAGCAGCCCAACCACACGATGTCCAGATGGGGAAGGCCAGCGTGGCTGGATGAGCACCCTGGGAACTGGCAAATGGGGCCCAGGTCTCCTAAGCAAGTCATCCAACCTCACCCTGCCCCCTCTTGTGGTTTCTGTTCTGAAAAACCCACCTTTAGGGCCAGCCCGGTGGCGCACTGCTACAGTGCGCCGCTTGGGAGCGCGGCGGCGCTCCCGACGAGGGTTCGGATCCCACATACAGACCGGTTCCCGCTCACTGGCTGAGCGAGGCGCGGGAGCAACGCCAAGGGTTGCGATCCCGTTGCCGGTCCCGGTCCGGTACGGGGGCAACACTGAGGGTTGCGATCCGTTGCCGGACATGGAAAAAGACAAAAAAAAAAAAAAAAAAAAAAGAAATCTTGATTCTCATTTGATTTTAGAATAGGTTTTTTAGGTAAATGCACGTATGGGGCAAAAGCCCTCAGGTAAGAGGCCACAGCCTAGAGATAGAGGGCAACAGCCCATCTAATCAACCCTAATCACTGCTTAGGTATGGGATTGTATACTTTAATGATTTTAGAGCTAACAGGTAGTTGTCATACTGATCCTGTAAACAGATTTTAAGAATTGCTGAAGGAAAAGATGTGAAAAAAATGTTTGCTAGGGGCAAGCTGTTTGCTGGGGGAAAACTTCAGACATAATTATACTTAGATTTTATCATGAGAATATAAGTTTTCCTTAAGGAGAGGTTATACTTTAGATAATGAGCACAGTTTGACCAATTTAGCTTTTCACAAATTGTACTTTGGAATGTCACATTGTTAATTTTACTGATGTTACTAGTTTCTATTGTTTAAGCTATACTTAGCCATAGATAACTTTTGTAACACTGCCCATGTCCTTGTATCCTTTTGTAATAATTGAATCAACTGAATTTTCTTGTGAAACTTCCTTGTCTTTACAATATAAAACAGAAGCTAACTTTAAATCAGGGCTGTACCCAGTTTTCTCCTGCTAACAGGGGAGTTGCTGGGGTACAGAACCTTTGGGCTTCTCAATGCATTCACAGTGCTTTGAGTAATCCTTTTTTGCACCTCCGTTACACAGAGAGAAGTGTAACAGCTGGCTGCAGCAGCAGAGAGCCCTGGGCCACCACTGGGGACAGGCACAAAGGACCTGTCTGGGACAAACGAGATATTCTCAGTGTGGGAGTCGCATAACAATGTCCCCCTCATTACCCGAGGACCAAACATCAGGAGCCCTGCCACTGAGTAGTCCTTGTCTCCCAGCCCTGAGCCCACCTGTCTATACCTGCTCTGCAAGTCCATTGTTTCTGCTTTGCCTGCAGCTCCCAGCCAGGCACTGGCAAGAGAATAAAGAGGATTCTGGAAGGGGTGTGTGTGGCAGCAGCTGAACCCAGCCTGCTGCTCTTCGATCTCTCAAGGACCACTTGGTAGCACCGTCACAGCTGGCCAACAACCCTCCCTTCCACAGCCATGGGGACCCAGGCCCTAGGGGGGCGAGGGAGTCCAAGCTCCAAGACCAGAACCAGCCAATATCCCCGAGTGGCCTGGGGCCCAGCTCTGCCTGCACATGCACCTTCCACACCCACTTCCCACCTTCCAGTCATGGAGTCAGCAACTCTTTATGCCTAGTTAACTTAGCCTTGCTAACAATTCCTTATACTAGGTTCTCTCTGTCCAAGTAACTGGGGTGTTTCTCCTGTCGGGACTCCAGCTGGCAGCTGAGTTCACATGAGAAGCAGCACCTCCCCACTGCTCTGTGACTACCAGAGTCTCTGAGTCACAGAAGGTGACCCTTGTGATTTTGTAGAAATGCTGAACTGCAATGCTGTTTTGAGGGTTACAAATAAAGTTGAAACAAAGTTGGAAATCATAAAACATACAAAAAATGCCACATCTTGACCCTCAGTCTGAGAGACGCATGGACTGAATTTGGCTGATTGTGGGTCACTATAAAACAAGAGGAACAATGCATACAAAATGCTGGAATGTGAGATTAAGTTTCAAAAGAGAGGTGTAGTGACCGGGACAGTTCAGAGAGCTTTCAAGTAACAAACTGAGAATTAGTGTTTAAATATTCCAGCCAACCAAGCCAGCCAAACCACAGGCTCTAGATCTGTCGGCAGGGCCACGGCTCACTACAGAATCCACTACCAAAAGAGGGCTGGTCAGTGGCCGTTCTCGGAAGAGGTGATGAACCGGAGCCTCCGGCCAGGCTGGCACCATTTCCCACAAGTCACTACAATGCGCCATTGGCCACTCCAGCACACCACAAGGCAATCTTAGAGCTGGAATTTGTGAAAGAAATCATGTTCCTCTGTAATGTCAGCATTTATTCTGGGAGGTTCCATCAGGGCTTTGTTTAAACAGCCCTAACAAGGATGTGGAGTCCCTGTGAGAATGGAAGCATCTCAAGTAATGTAGAGACAGTCCCAGTGGGGGAGACTGCTGTCCTCAGGAGTGCACTGCACAGGCCCTGTGTGACACCAGCTCTTGACAGCGGAATGGGTGGGGGTGACTGTCACTTCCAATTGGTGGGGCGTTCAAGTGGGTGGGGCTGTCCCCTGCTCATCCCCACCTGCTGACTGGAGGCCCAGGGCCACAGGATGGAGGACCAGGTCCTTCCACCCTGGGGAGGACACAGGCTCTTGTCTTCAAGCCACCAAATACAGTGGAGCCCATCAACTTTGCAGCCAAGGGTGACAAACATGACAGAGAAGTCCATGTGGCACAATGAGCTGCTTCTGTCCTTCAAGATGCAGCAGATCCTCTGTGCTGGGTCACACTGGGCTTCACACAGTGGCCACAGCCAGAGAAAGCAGCTCCACTCCACAGTGGCAGCACCAGGCCACACCTGCTGGGTCCAGAAGACTGACTGCCCACAACCCCTGGTTATCTCTCCCCACACACTCACACTAACACCAGCAAAGGAAGAAACAAGGAACATGAAGTATATTCAACAAAATTAAACCATTTTATTGGAAATTGGTTAAAAGTTAAGGCACTTCAAACTTTATGGTTTCCTTGAGATTACAGTTTTGTGGCTGCTCTTAGTGTTTCAGAAAAAAGCATATGGGCTAAGACCAACCTTACAATGGTCCTGACATGGGTTTCTGTATCCAACAAAAGGATTAAATACACTGCATCTAACAGCTGGTAGCTCTACTCTCAGCTCAGCAACCTAAATTCAAGACACTGTGTGTTTTTACGTACATGCTCTCCGTATTAATATAAAGTTCATTAAAGTCTATTAGAAAGTTTCTTTTAGAATAAACAGTAGAAAGTAAAATTCTGATGGCTGCTGTAAAACATGTAGGAATATTTTGTAATACTTCAGATTACTATCAAACACCCAAGAAGTCAGAGAAATAAGACTAAAGATTTAAACCCTTAATTTAAAGGGTTATTTTCTGTCTAAAATTTTCAGGGTACAAATGTTAATACACGGTAGATACACAGTCTAAAAAGGTGTATTAAGCTCTTCGATGATTTCCTAAAGGATTCTGGATCATAGTGATCTGCCTGTGAGCTTTATTTGATGCTGAAGACAGTTTTTTCTAACAGCATTATCATCTCTGAGAATGGAATGCATCACTTATTTTACATGCTGCCAACCTATTTTCCCAAAGCAAAATTTTTAAATTTCAAAGCAATCTGGCAACAGGCTACTTTCAAATTTCTCTTCACACAGTTACTTCATTGCACACTGCTTTCCCTGCCATGAAGTGCTATTTACTTAAGTCATGTGTCTGGATTTTAAAGAAATGTGTATCATGTACAGTACCACGAGGTACCTGGGTTCTCACTGACAAATTTACAGAGAAGGTGATTCTGAAATTCTCAGAATTCACGGGAGCCAGAGCACACCTGGAAGCTGGGAGTGGTCTTATAAGCAGGTCAGCTGTCAGTGTGTGGACAGTCTCTTGACACGCCTACTTTCCGCGGCTTTATGGCTAGATGATGAGGGACTGGCAGTTTTCCTAAGATAGAATGAAATGACTTTTGTGGGGTGTGTGTGGAGCTTGTGAGTGGGCAGAGAGGAGCTTGAGAACCCTGCTGCAGCTGCAGGACTGCGTGCGCGTGTCAGTGCTACTGGGCTGCTTAGTCTGCAATTAGCTCACAGATCGAGAAGAGTGGTGGAACAGGTACATTTCCTCCTTAAAAAAAACAAACAAAAAACCCAACCCGACAAGTTTAATTCAAAAGTGACTAAATGTAGAAAGATAACAGGGAACAGAAGGTCACTAGTTTGCAGGGACAAGGGCAGGATTGTCCTTTCAGGGCAGCCCCCAATGGCCCATTGCGAAGGGCTGGCAGGTTCACATTGTTGGGGAGCAGGGTGATCCTCCCTGCTGAGCCGTGCTGAGGAGCCACAGGAAGCTCTGAGATTGCCTGGCGTGTCGGAGCATGTTTCAGTTGTTTTCAAATCTAGCATATGGGTTTTCTTCTTTAAACAAACCTGAAAACAAAATGAATTGGAATTATAAATTCACTCATTCAACTGGAATTCAAAATTCAAGAAAGCAATATAAGTTAGCTAAGTTTTATACAAAGATTTACTAAGGCTGTAGGAAAAATGGGTGTTCTAAGCAGACTCAAATACCATGCTCAGTCTTTGTTGAAGTCAAATCACAGCTGACTTAAAAGCAGCAATTCAATTTACTGGAAACAACAATTCTAGCAGATCCTAAGAAATAAAGATGTATTTAATGATGCTTGCAAAGAGAATCTAAAAAATTTAAAGTAAATATTTCTTTCCATAGCGGTTGGCTAGTACTGCACTGAAAAACAAAATAAAACCATCTTCCTTTGAATATCCTCATAACGGCTGTTTATACATGTTGTAGAATTAAGGCTACAGAAAGAAGTGAAAAACCATCAATTTAACTCTCAAGTGTTATGATATAACTGTAATAAAATGTGCATTTAACCATAAACATACACCTGTGGTACTTAGCCAAGGACTAAGAGTTTTCTCTTCACACTGCAGAAACACACACACGCTCCCTCTTTTTAAAAATCTGTACTGTATACCAAAATTGTCTGCAGCCACTGCAATAAATCTACTTACTGCAGAGTTTCTGGGGGGTGGAGGAGTAGGAAGAAAGAGACAGAACAAGAGTGGAGAAGGAGGGGAAGGAGGGTGCTTGCTGGCTGTGTCTCCTGCCCGTGTATGAAAGGAGGATGGCAGTGCCAGTTCAGTCACTTACGGCAAACAGCCACCAGACACCAATGTCAGGTGCAAGCAGGCTTGTAAGGCTAAGTGAAAAAAGAGTTCCTAGTTCTATTTCTAGTTTAGAGTAAAAAAACAGATGTGAACTGTCTTGTGATAAGGAAGTCAGACCTCTCCCAAAACCAAAAGAAGTGTTACGTCTGTGTGCAGGTACCTTACGCGTTAACTGACCCAGGTTAACTCAGGCGCCTCCCGCCACTTCTCCCACCAGGAGCTCCTGGAAATTCTTCCACACAACCGAGGCTTTCCAAACTGCAGCCCATCAATGGGCCTTATCACAAACTGGCACAAAAAGTTAACTTCTCGGGTACAATTAAAGGGACAAATCAACCACCCAAACAGCAGGAATAAGCCAATCAGAAGACGCCAACCTGCTGGAGCACTGCACACGCACGTGTGTGCCCAGCACTAACAAGCACTTTGTGGGGGGGGGGGGGTGTGTACATGCACACACGTGCCTTGTCTTTTATTTATGTTTATGTTAACCAGATAACACCAAGATCAAGGGTTCGGATCCCCTTACTGGCCAGCCAAAAAGAAAAAGAAGGCAGCATTAACCAGATGCCAAAAAGCCCCCTTGACTCTTCAATTTCGTGGAAACCAAGCTGCCCCCAGCCAAGGCTGGCATAAACACGCTCAACGGCCGCCTTTTGCCTTCCAACAGCAGAAGCGTGCACTCTCCGAGAAGGGAGGGATTCCCTGGAGGCCACTCCACATGCATGTTGCACCTTGGAAGCCAAATCACCACCAATGCCATAAACACACACCTGGAAACACCAGACAACTGAGGGGGCGTGGCAAGGAAGAGATCCCAGGTTAGCACTGGGGATGGAGGAAGAACCAAGACAGAGAGGCCAGCGGCCAAGGAGCAGCAGGGGTAGCCTCATGCCCTGGAACCAACACTCAGAAGCTGGCAGGATCAGCCCCAGCCTCTGGAGCCCAGCCACATTCACAGCCCACAGGTTGGTTTTCCATGGTGGCCTGAACAGGCTGGAGGAGGACAGACATGCCAGTGGGCCCAGCAGGCACAACCCAGAGCACCAGCAGCAACGGGAACCTCGAGGCATCAAATATTCTAATAAGCCAGCAGCAATGGGAACCTCGAGGCATCGAATATTCTAATAAGCCACATCCAAAAGAGGCGCACTGTTTACTAGTACTGCTGGGTTTTGCTATAACATCTTCTCCCCAGATGAGTGAAATGAAATACAGTGGTAGAACAATGTCCCTAGTGGGTAGGATCCTAAAATACCACTAAAATATGCTATTTCCTTATACAAATTGAGAATTCAAAAAGTGTACTAATCGGAAAAGATTTTGAAATTTTCCTGATCAGACTTAGCCTTTAACAGTGCTTCAAGGAAGGCGCAGAGGCTCAGTGCTGCCCTCAGCTGGGGGCCATGCACCTGTGTCCAGGCACGACCAGCACGCCAGCTTCCAGCACGACCAGCAGCACCCCACAGTCACAAAACCCAGGGTGGGAAACACAATCCTCACAGGCTTTAACATCAGCACAGAATCAAACACAGGAGCAGATGGTGGAGTTCATGAAATTTGAGGAGGGTAGGATCACTTAATGTGTATTTCCAACTCATTCCAACTCAAAAGGTTAACACTTGACATACATTTATTCTGGCTTCAGAACACCCCCCAAACATGTCTAAAACCAAAAGCAAACAAGAACAAAACATCTGTGAGATGCAGTGAGAGGTAGCGTGGCCTCAATTTTGGTGAACTCTCTGGAGAAGGAGCATAGCGGCGCTGGCAACACCTAGAAGACGGGAAGGCAAGCGAAACACTTAAGAGGATGAAGGGGCCTGGGGAGCTGCAGTCACAAGGCCACACCCTACTTTAGGGCAAACAAGACAACTGTCACAGACAGACCATTCTGGAAGTTTCAATACTTCATGAGCAAACAAGTGTCCAAAAAAATACACTTCATGAAAACTCCTGGTTGAGATAAAAACATTGTAAGGTTTTGTCTTCCAAGACATTTGATGGCATGAAATAACTATAGCACCACCTGGAATAACCACCAGCTGCTTTTCTCTGTTCCAGTGAATGAATGCATGGAAAAGAAGCCACAGCCCAATCTGTAGGTCAGATCTCACCTGGCACTAACAAGGACCAAGATGGCCTGGCATCAATTCCTCACCAACCAAAAAGGTGACACATCGGTTCTTACCATATTTTTTTCTTATTTCATCATGTCTTGACTTCATCTCTGCTCTCCTGAAAAACATAAAGAAACACTGTTAGCACCAAACTACAATATACACCATTTCATGTCCTTCTGGTAGCTTTCCTCTAGTTCCTAGCATGAGACTGGGTGGGATGAGCTCGGCCATCGAGACACACTCCCACTGGGACAGGCAGGGTGAGGGCGAGCCCAGTCTTTGGAGGCTGCTCCAATGCATCATGCTACTCTTACCAGTAAAAGTAATTCAAGTGCCCGATGCTGTGATTTTGAAAAAGCCTTTTCATATAAAAAACATTGCACTGGGGCCGGCCCGGTGGCGCACTGCTACAGTGCGCCGCTTGGGAGTGTGGTGGCGCTCCCGCCGAGGGTTCGGATCCCACATACAGACCGGTTCCCGCTCACTGGCTGAGCGAGGTGTGGGGGCAACACCGAGGGTTGCAATCCCGTTGCCGGACACGAAAAAAGACAAAAAGGAAAAACAAAACAAAACAAAACAAAACATTGCACTGATCAGTGAAAGTCTCACATCAGGCTCTGCAGGTAGTTAGGAAAATGTGATTGTTGGCTCTATTTAGTGGCTCATAGCTTGGAGATGGCCACATGGGAAATGCGTCCAGCCTCAACCCTCACCAGCTGCCTGACATGACCTGCCTCCCTGCCTCACAGGGCTGCCCGACGGCCAGCACCCACACTCAGCCAGTGCTGCATCACCTAAGCACTAGCGACATGAGACCCAACTCTGCCACAGGCAGACAGGTGACCCTGACAATGCCTGTCCTCTCTCTGAGCCTCAACTTCTGTATCACAAGTGGATGGGGCTGGGCTAATGGTGTCTGAAGGCCCTTGTCACCTTAGCAGTTATAACACAAAGTGCTCCCGTCAGCTGCCACCCTCACTTAAACAACTGGAGGAAACAGACGAGGAAGCCACGCCTGTGAAAACAAGGCTCGTGGCCACCTGCAAGGTTCCCGGCCACCTACAAGGAGGTTCCCGCCACACAGTTTCTCACCTTTTACCACAATCTAAAAAAATCCCAGACACTGAGCACATTCTTAATTTTTAAAAGTGGACAAAACTCATGAGTTATAAATGCCATTTTTGTATATCCTTCCATATCTGAATTTCCATGAAGTAAACATCCGCCAGAGGAGAGTGCCTCTGTGACCCCACCTCTCCTCCTGCCGTATCCGCCTCTCTTCCCGCTCTCTCATCGCCTTCTCGTCACTTTTGTCTGGCTTCTGGCTCCTCTTCCTCCTGCAACAGCAGCAGCAGCAGACAGCGATGCCCAGGAGGATGGATCCCCCCAACACCGACATGGCAATAATCAAGGCCTCAAAGTTCACTGGAAAAGCAAATGCATAGAGTTAGATCTGCCTTAAGTATGCAATCTACCACCAAGAGCACCACTCCCTTGTCCATGGTGAACAATCTCAGAAAACAGGAGCACCAGCAGGAATTCCGCCTCCACCGGGCTGCTGCCCCATGGGCTGGGAGAGCTGGGGCCCTGTTCTCAGGTCAAGGTCTGGGGAGAGGACAGGAGGGCCATTCGAGTCTCTTCCAGCCACATGCCTGTAACTTACAATTTATGGATTAACCACAATGAATTGAAATGACAGGACAGCTTGTCTTACTTGATACTGAAAAAGCCTGAGAAAAGTTAACAGAAACCAGAAAGAAGAAAAATACTACTAAGCTGTATATTCAGACTCTCCTAAGACATTCTCAACTCTTAATTTAGCGGAACTCACAAAAATGGAGCTTAAACCTGATGCAGCTTTATTATTTAAATTAATCAAAGTCAAGAATATTACAATTATTTCTAAAGGGAAACAAATTTCTTTCAGGGCACACATTGACCACCACATCCAAAAGGAACAACCCTGGAGAAGCAGACCAGGCCCCAGGACAGCACAGGGGCATCTTTAAATCTGAGTATCTATCAACACCCTGGGGTGTCGATACTGACTTTGAACAGTATCAAACAATGCTATGATTTCCTGTTAAAATCAACCTTCAGAGACAAATAAAAACTTAAACAATCTTTATAATTCCTTTCAACTTCTCATAAAGATCTATAAATTAAAACCAGTCAAGATTTTTCAGTTCAACTAGAGCTAATTAAAGAACACCCTAAGGGCTGGCTCATGCTCACAATGGAGAGTGTGGTGCTGAAAACACCAAGTCAAGGGTTAAGATCCCCTTACCAGTCATCTTTAAAAAATAAATAAATAAATAAAAAGAACACCCTAATACTGCTCTTGCAAATGTGTTTTCCAATCATCCAGTTAAGAAAGTTTTGGAAGATAACTGTAAGAACAAACTCCCCCTGGGCAGTGGTGTTACCACATATTGATTTTATTTTATTTTTTTTTAACTGAAGTTAAAACTTATGCCACCATATAGAGTTGATAACCTGCTGGTTCTCCTGGCTGTGGCAGGTTTGGAAGGTGAATGTTCTGCTAAGTAACTCGGCCTTAGCGAGAGGAAGGTTGATGCCCAGTCCTCTGAGGCTGCCTCAGCCTGCCCACTCTGCCTGCTAGGGACACTAAGATGTACTTCCCGCAGGCTACATGTTTAACAGAACACATTTTTAGTTGATTAAACTATTTTAAAAATCAGGAGTGGGTGTTACATCTGATCAAATGGAACTTTTAATCATGTGTTTTTTACCCGCTCCTTTGACCTGTTCTGGAAGTGTAGAATTACAAAAGTAGTAGTAATAGGTATAACTGGAAAGGGAACTTCATTAGCAGATGGCGTAATTTTTTGACTAGCGAGAACTCTAGAAAAATCCACTTAAAAAACCAAGGAGATTGATAAGATCGCTGACTCTAAAACATATCTAGCCCCCAAATAGCTTTTGATTGGCAGCTAAAACCAGTTATAAAACAAAAACAGCAATCTGTCACAATGCGAAACAAAACTATGGGCTCCTTCTGTGTTAATCCTACAGGGTGAACCCCTGACCTTCCACCAGAGGATGAAAACAATGACGTGAACCAAGGAGGTGACACCTAGCTTCTGGACAAAAGGCCCAAATTGTAAAGATCTCATTTTTATCCCAATGAATGTATGTATTTTAGGTCACTGAAATTAAAACCCTAAAACAATTTTGCCTAGAACTGGATGAAACGGTTCTAAAGTTACTTGTAAGGATAAATACATAAGCACCTGTGGTGTAAAGCCTAAAATTAACATTATGTGCTGCTTTGACATCTGGTGAAACCAGGAGGGCCGAGGGGACCAACCACAAGTTCCCCTCCCAATGTCGTCCCTGCCAGCAGATCCCCAGTCAAGCAACCCTCATCATGGGACCACCTACAGTTCCTGTTTACCCCTGAGCAACACGGTTCAGTTCTCGCTCAGCCCTTGGAATTAGCCAAACAAGTCACTGTGACCCCCCCCAGGAACCAGAGGCACCCTGCCCTCTTGTTACTACTGGCTTGTCCCTGTGACCTTGTGTGGTGTGTGTGTCCTCTTCCCCAGGCGTCACTGCATGTGACTAATAAACTGCTATCAATCTCATCTGTCCAGGGTCACTGTTGCATGTTCGGCCATCTCTGTAACCTAGGGTGGGAATTTTACTTCACGAGAGAATTACCAAAACAGCCACCCCTTGAAATGGTGCTCAACATCACTAGTCCCTGGAGAATGCAAATTAAAACCACAATAAAATACCACTACACACCCACCAGATGGACTAAAATTAAGATGACTGACTACCCTAAACATTGGCAGGGATGTGGAGCAACTGGAAGCTCGACATTGCCTGAAGGAGTGCAGCTAGCATGGGCTTCGCCAGAAGTTATGTGTCAATGTAAAAATACCTTAATGACAGTTCATGCTCAAAGAGCCAAGGATTCCCTAGTCCAGGAGTTGTCTCTATAGAACAGTTAGTAAGGAGAGGTTCCATGGAGAAGACAACAGTCCAGATGGAGACAGGCAGTAGCCTCAGGAAACTTTTCTGGTGTGAGAATGGCCAGTTGGGCAGACATGACGGGTGCATGAACACGCCCACACCCACCACAGACATCCCACAACCTCCCCGACCAAACTTCTGGATTCCCTAGGGGTACCAGACAAGAAACAAGTTGTTTCGGATGGAGGCTGATGGATTTTGAGAAGGATATCAAGTAGAAGATAGATAAATAAGGAATGAGTTGCAGAGGGATCCAAGATACAAACAAAAAAAGTCAAAGTGTTCTAAGAAAATATTGGTGACTTTATGGATCTTAAGAAGGCCTATGTATGACCTCAAACCTGAAGCCATAAATGAAAAGATTAATAAATTCAACTACATAAAAATAAGTTCCCTAATAGATGAGCACCTGTAAAATCAACTATACACAGACAGACACATGGAAAAAATAGGGCCGTGTGCATGCTCAGGAGGGACTCTGAAGCTAGGGAAAGAAGAGTCCTACTGGAGCCCATAAATGGGTTTCCAGGGTGGGACATGAACACCACCAACATATAATATGCAGAGAGGTCAGAAAAGAGCCTTCAGACTTGCCCTTCCCCCCAACCTTCCCAGGACATGGAGACAGAGGTTAGTGCTGCGGCTGATGACCTTGAAGGTGGTTCTTCAGATTCCCCTGGGAACCCCGGATTGCTTTCCCAGACATCACACTGTCCTTGACCTCCCAAGTTCTCGCTGGGAGTGTCACAGAGCTACAAGCAGCAAGTTTTCCAGCAACTTATGTTAACTGAGTACATACTAGAATTTTCAAAAAAGCACTGACTTTGCAAGAGGCAAATGAAAACAACTTACCCCAGCAAACACCCCAGCGTGCAGAACTCAGTTTACAAAGAGAACCAGGTGGCAAGATTTTTGTAACTGGGTAGTCCAAACATGCTTTGTTAGTGTTGCACCAAAGACACTGAAAGAGATCAATATTACATAAACATTAGAAACACAATACAAAAACCAAAGGATAGACCATCCAGGATCCCACCGCCTTCAGTGCCTCCATGCCAACCAGCATGCCATCTCTCCCGTGGATGACTGTGATGGCCTCAGCCTCACCACTAGTCTCTGCCTTCACCCTCACTGCCCTTTAGTCTATGCCCAACACAGCAGTCAACAGCCCTAATGGCTCTTCACTGTCTCACTCCACAAGGCTCCTATTACTCAGACCTCTTCCATGACTCCCCCTGCCATGGCCACGTGGGCCTCCATGCTGATCTTGAAGATTCTAAGCCCCCTCACCTCAGGACTTTTGCAAGGCCTGTTTGCTATGCCTGGAGCAATCTTTTTCTTTTTCTTTTTTTTTTTTAAAGATGACTGGTAAGGGGATCTTAACCCTTGACTTGGTGTTGTCGGCACCATGCTCACCCAGTGAGCAAACCGGCCATCCCTATATGGGATCCGAACCCGTGGCCTCAGTGTTATCAGCACCGCACTCTCCCGAGTGAGCCACATGCTGGCCCTGCTCTTTTTTTTTTTTTGTGACTGGTAAGGGGATCGTAACCCTTGCCTTGGTGTCACCAGCTCCATGCTCAGCCAGTGAGTGCACCGGCCATCCCTATATAGGATCCAAACCCGTGGCCTCTGTGCTCCCAACGCCACACTCTCTAGTGAGCCACGGGGTCGGCCCTGGAGCAATCTTGCACATGTATCTGTACAATTCCCTGGCCTCAACGAGGCCTGCTACTGCCCTCCCCCACTTCTCCACTCCTTCACCTCCCGCATGGTTTGCTTCCACAGCATCGCCACCTGCTAGCACACCAGGCACTTCTGCATCATGGCTCTCATACTCTGCTTGCACAAGGGCAGGCATCTGTGCACTTTGCTGAAGTACCCCAAGAACGCAGGACAGAGCCTGGCCCATAGTGGGCGCTGACTGAGTGTTTGTTGAATGGACTTTGGTGGCCATGGTAATCACTATCTGTAGAAAGGTGCTGTACCATTGATCTTTACAACTGCACTAAGTTGTCATGTTTGAAACATTATGCAATTAAAGCACAAAGGCATCTGCCCAAAACTTGAGAGCCGCAGAACACCTCTTGTATGCTCATCTGAGCCCCTTGAATGTTAGGGGTGTGGCCGGAGCAGCATGGAGACAGCACTGTCACACCAGTGTCTGTGTCAGAGCCCAGAGCTGGGCCCACCACAAGTCACAGCAGCCCATAACCAGGCCCGAGAGTCAAGCACTGTGGGCAATAAGAAACACAGCATAGCTGCCCCTGGTGGGGAGTCCGCAGGCAGATGATGCATATGAGGGATAAAAGAGCTGTGGTTTCGGTGGCCCCCAACGTGCCAGCCAAAGTCAAGGCTTTGCCTGTTATTTTAAATCTTGACATTAACAGTGTTACAACATTTTTAACAGGATAAAAAAATCATTTCTTTTTCCCAGGCTAGGGTTTCTACCTTTTATAAAAAAATATTAAAATGCAATCTGGGCTTTCTTTCCCAGGGCTATTTACACAGTGCCCATTTTAGTGTCTTATACTTTGAACAGTTCAGAGCCTAACATAATAAACAGCAGTAAAACCCTGTTTATTTTGGCCACTTAGGAATATCTTCCACTTCAGTGGTTCTGTCCTGGATTAACAACTTTTGGCTAATCTTCCATTTTCGGACAGCTCATACTGTAAAAGGCTAATTTTCCATTTTTAATGACAGTTTTTCCCTAAGCCACCGGTGCTCACTGGGAGGACAGGGCGTTCCCTCCTCCTTCACTGATGAAGTGACATGCAGGTGAGAATCCACCCAGGCAGCCTCTCTCCCCACTTCTCAGGGTCCCCTGAGGCCTCTAGGCATGAGGATGCCTTTCCAGAAACTGCCTGTGTGTCTCGAGGTGGGCTGCATGCACCCTCTGTACCTTGCCTTTCTAGCTTGCTCTGTAGGGGTTTAGGGTGGGGTCCTGGCCTCAGCTCTTCTGGACTGGCTCCATGCACTGTGACCAGGGCCAATGGACGGCTGTCACCACCACACCCACCCCAGGGCAATGCAGCGAAAGTGCCCTCTAGACTGCAGAGACATGCACAACAGTGAGCAGCATTTGTAGCTGAAACAGAAAAATCCAGAAACTGAAAAGAAGCATCATCAAGATAATACCCCCCCTGAGGACCAGACTCACTTGAGCAAGTTCAACATCCTCAGTGTCAAGATCTGAGACCATGGTAATAGCTTCTTTCCATTTTTAATCAGCAAATGCAAGTAACCACTGAAGTCCCACAAACAGACAAGCTATATCTCAAACCCACACTGCCATGTGGGTAACAGCTGTTTTTTTTTTTGTTTTTTTTTCCCTTTTTGTCTTTTTTCGTGGCCGGCAACGGATCGCAACCCTCAGTGTCGCGCCCGTACCGGACCGGGACCGGCAACAGGATCGCAACCCTCGGCGTTGCCCCCGCACCTTGCTCAGCCAGTGAGCAGCCGGTCTGTATGTGGGATCCGAACCCTTGGCGGAAGCGCCACCGCACTTCCCAAGCGGCGCACTACAGCAGTGCGCCATCGGGCCGACCCTGACAGCTGTTTTTTAAAAACTAATCTAATACATCTTTCCTAACCTGTCTCCTGTCATCAAACCCCACTGTCAGGGACAGAAAAGCAAAGGCTGTGCAGTTCTAAATACCCTGTAAAAACCTGGTTGAAAGGAGCAGGGGAGGAGGCCTTGCTGGAATCCTAAGGAAAATGCCCTGCAGAGCTGTTTTCCAGCCCACCCAGTGTCACCTTCCCCTGGGTTCCCATGCTGACAACACAGTGCTATGATTGGACAAGGTCAGAGACCCTAAGTTTAGGTGCTGCTGAATGAAGAGCTTGCAGCAAGCCAGTGTCTGCTTAGAGGAGCCAGCTGGGGCCAGCCGTAGGCATACACCAACAGGCTAGAAAAGCCAAGAGGAGCCCCAACAATGCAGCATGTTCATACGACAACCTTAACAAGATCTACACTGTATGCTACACTTCCTATCACTGATTTCTACTTCTACCAATGGACAGCTGAACACACGTTTACTTTAGATCCCAGGACAACCCATCTGCAAATAAAAATAACCCTGATGAGTCTTGGGCCCCACCTCAGAACGTGGAGGATTAACAAACTTTGCTCCAGAATGTCTACCCTCTTGCTCAAGATCACAGGCATTTAAATGTACTGGGGAAAAATCATAAGGTGCTGGCTGAGTCGTACCTCATAAGTCAAGTGGGCTATGGACAGAGTCTGAGCCACGGGACCTCATGGCCACTAAGTCCCTAACTGACCTGCCGGCCCATGCCTCTCTGTCCTTATTTCCCCCTCCGCCATTCCTGTTCAAAGGGCTAGGAGAGAAGCATCTACCACAATCCTTAACAACAGAGGGAAAACCCAGGACACACAGTCCCAAGACATAGGTCCAAGGTTTACCAGCAAGCCTCTAAGGTCTAATGACTCTATAGGAAAGACCTAGACAGTTATCAGTCATAGATTTGATGATAAGTAAGTAGGAGCAGGAAAAAGTCCAGCCCAGGGCTTACCTCTTTCCCGACAAGGTCACCTGATGCCCAGCCCACCTGCTGCTTCCCAATAGGGTCAGACACTGGCTGAGTGTGGGCCCCGCGACACATTTTCTACTCCCCAATCACCTGCTACAGGAGTCAAATCATGTATACTGATTGTGCTCAGGTGGTGTCTAGTTTTCATGAGAAGGCTTAATATGCCTGAGAAAGGCTAGTATTTAATAACGATCATGAAAAATACCTCCACAAATCCCAAATGGCAGAACCCTTCAAACACACAAGCATCTTTACAACCCAAGGAAGGGGGTGCTGGGTGGGCTGGAAAACAGAGCTCTGCGGTGCCTTTACCTTAGGATTCCAGCAAGGCCACCTCCCCCACCCCTTCCGAACAGGTTTTTACAGGGTATTTAGAACCACACAGCCTTTGCTTTTCTGTCCCTGAAAGGGGAGTTTGATGACAGGAGACAGGCCAGGAAAGATGAATGTAAATCCAATTCCCTGGGTTTAGAGAAAGCGGGTCTGATCTTGGATTGTGTTCTAACCTGAGTGCTACTTACAGAGACATTCTTCAGGCACTCTTCACAGGTTCTGTTTGTGTTCTGAGAACAAGCTGTAGGGGAAAAGACAAATAAATCACTGGGAATCACGCAATCTAAGTATTATAGCTCAGGAGGGCAGGGAGGGGCACTAGTAAGAGTGGCTGGGATCAAGAAGATGAATGCCATCTCAAGACTCTCCTGGTACCCAGCCTTCTTCAAGGCACAAGGAACAAACATTCCCCAAACCCTGCTGCACACAGGGCACCAAGAATAGCAAACACATGGCTCCTACCCACAAGGGATCTTCTGGGGAAGAAGAGACCCCAAACACAAAAGGCTTTGTTTTACATCTCTCCTTCAGAGGAGATGAACACGTGGGCACAAAATCACTAACTACTACCTGGCTGAGACTTACCGCTCATCAGCACTCACTAGGGAAGCAAAAAACTTCCATCCACAGCCACAGCAATGCCAGCAGCACTGCCAAGAAGCATACCCGTGTTGCCAGACTTAACCTATAGACCTCATGGGGCTAAAGCAAAATCTCAGCCCCCAGCCAGCCTCCCACACAGGGCTATGCTCCTCGCATCCAACAGAGATACACCACTGTATCGACCTATTCCAATCACAGGGAACACCCTGGGACTCTACCCACTACTCACAGCACTGCTGCTATTGGAAGGGGTCCAAATCCACACAGCTACAGCTTTGGAACACAAGCTAATCAGAAGTAAAGAACTACACTATGAATAAAGAATGTCTACCATGCTGTCAAGCAGCTGCCAACTGCCTACTCCTCACCATCCCTTAAAACACACACACACACACACACACACACACACACTCTGAAGAGAGCTCTGGGCTCCACATCATTAGTCACCAGGGAAATGCAAATTAAAACCCAAATGAGATATGACTGCTCACCCACCAGAATGGCTAAACAGACTGACAATACTAAATGCTGACAAGGAAGTACAGCAACAGGAACACTCATACAGTGCTGGTGGAGTGTAAACAGTGCAACCATCTGAGAAAAAGCTCTGGCAGTCACTCACAAGATAAACATGTGCCCACCCTATGATTCAACAATTCTACTCTTACGTATTTTAACCAAGCAAAATTAGAACATACACCCACAGAAAGACCTATGCAGGAATGTTCATAGCAACTGTACTTGTAATAGTTACGGGTTGGGGGGAGCACAATGGGGAAGGGGCCTGAACTTTCTGGACTGATGGTTCTGGGTCTGGACAGGGTGTGGGCTACACACGTGTAACTCATCGAACAGCACATTTAAGTTTCCTTCATTTTGTTGTATGAAAAACTTACCTTGTGCACTGACATCTGTGAGTGACTCAACGCATTCACGGAAGGCTACAGTGGATACTTGGACAGATGTAACAGCAAAATGTGGTGATGAAACCTAAGTGGTGGGTATATGAGTGTGCACTACATGGTTCTTTCAACTCTGCTGTACGTGTGAAGACTGTGATAATGAAATACAGGGGAAAGGAGCTTTAGCTTTAAGTTAAAATTTTATTCATTATGTTTACTAAGAGGGACTAATACATAGAGTAAATCAGTACTTAAGTTGAAATAGCCAGGGTCCTTCTATTCAAGTCTAGTTCTTCTACACTCCATTTTTCTATATAAAATCCCATAATTTATTTCATTTTATTTAAAATAAAATGAAAGCACATCTTGTCACATATTCTACAGCAATTGTTATTTAAATAGTACTCTCGGCACTATTACACTTATTTTGAAATTTCTTTTAAACCACTTTAAAGACTCGGAATGCAGCAAGGTAAAGAAAACTGACAACCACTGAAGTACCTAGATTTCTTACAGTGCTGCTTGGGAGGCAGGGTACAGTGGAACTCAGACTGGGCAGTGTGGAAGAAGGGAGCCACAACTGTGGCCAACAGAAGGCAGAGACCCCTGTGGTGGCGGGATGTACTCCAGTACCACCATGAAGTCTTGGTTTAAAAGCTTGATTCCTAGCACTGCCCAAAGAAAGGGCTGAGAACAAATCACACTGAGGGCAGTAGAGCATGCTTAGTGCAAAGGTCGTGGATTTACATGCTGTTGTTCCCCAATAATAGGAACCAGGACTCCTTGTAGAAATGGCCCATTCCAGAACTGGGCAGGAAAGGTCAAGATGAACCTCAGACAGGTTCAGGGCCAAAAGGTGGCACAAACATACGTGTAAACAGCAAAAGGACCTGGTAGACAGCTTGAAGGGGGGGTCCTCTGGGCCCAATCTGGAATAATTTAAACATCAAAACAAATAACGACTGCCATGGAATCTAATCCCTTGAATTAAATAGTCCATGTTCATACTGACATGAAATAAAGAGAAGGCCAACTAGCAAATGTCAAAGAAATGATGAGTTGAGAAGTCTCCATCTTACAAACATCACAGTCAACACTGATCCAGGTCAAGACCTGGAGTGACAAGACACTGACAGTCTTCCAGTGCCTCCCTACAGGCTAATCATTACTTATAAAGGGAAAATGGCACCCTCAGGGTGATTAAAGTTATCACAACAACGTGTGAACACGAAAATGGAACAAAGTGGCCCGTGTGCCTCCTGTGGGGATGCCGAAAGGGACACAGTCACACAGTCACTGTGCAGTGCTTTTGTCAAAACACACCTGAATCAAATCAGAAAAACCACTGGGCAACACCAGATTGAGGGTCCTCCTGCAAACTGACTTCCTGAAAACACAGACAGACTGAGGAGCTTTCCAAACCAATGGAGTGAAAGAGACATAAAATCTGTATATGAACTGTATCTTAAATCAAGTATTCAAGTATCATATCAAAGTTAAGTCTCCAGATTTTGAGGATTATATTTCAAGTATTCAAGTATCATATCAAAGTTAAGTCTCCAGATTTTGACAATTATATTTCAGTTTGGTAAAAGAATGTCCTTGTTCTTGGGAGATATACCCTAAAGAACTAAGAGGTAAAGGGCCACTTCAACAATTTATTCTCAAATGATTTGGTCAAAATAACACACAATATGGGCCGGCCCGGTGGCGCACTGCTACAGTGTGCCGCTTGGGAGTGCGGCGGCGCTCCCGCCAAGGGTTCAGATCCCACATACAGACCGGCCACTCACTGGCTGAGCGAGGTGTGGGCGCAACACCGAGGGTTGCGATCCCGTTGCCGGTCCCGGTCCGGTACAGGCACGACACTGAGGGTTGCGATCCGTTGCCGGTCACGAAAAAAAGACAAAAAGGAAAAAAAAAAAAATAACACACAATACAACTATAATATGTCAACTTACAATAAAAAAATGAAAAACAGAATACAAACTATTTTATTATAAATTTTAAAAATAACAATAAGCAGATAAAGACGGAGTGGCAGAGCAAGTGCAGCAAACGTTGAGAGAATGGAAGGGGGTTCAGGAGTTCATTGCACTGCTCCAGCTTTTTGGCAGCTTGATCTTTCTAAATAAAGTTGGGGATGGGAGGCACAGGGTGTGTCCAACACCCATCCTCAGTCCTTTCTAAAAAGTCTCCTACAAGAAATGACGCACTCCCTCCTCCTCAGTCTGACAAAGTGGCCATAGGGGAGGAGGGGGGTGAGGTATGGGAACTCCTTCATAGGAATTTTCACTTTTAAAGCTTCTTTTTCATAACCTGTCTTGTGTGAACTAAAAGAATTGAGTTCTGAGATACACACCATGAACTAAGGCCACCCCTAGGCCTACAGATTACGGGCCAGTCTGAGTCCACTGAGGTCCCAGAGGAAGAGACAGAGGAAAATTGCAGAACATTCCTCCTGCTCCCAGCCCACCAAGAACAGGGCAGGTTTTCAAATTGGGGGAAAACATCAATGTTAAAACAGTCCTCACCAAAATATCTTCAAAACTGGGAACAGGTCATTCTATTCTCTCCTTTGAAAACAACACATTATGTTGCCTAGCAGGAAAAGAAATCCATTAACCATTTGTTATTGTTTCAAGACAGGCAGTATTTTATTTCTCTGAGAAGCCACTGTATCTGTTATCTCATCACCGGGTATAGAAAACCACGTGCTAGGGCCTGCCCGGTGGCGCACTGGAGAGTGTGCCGCTTAGGAGTGTGGCGGCGCTCCCGCCAAGGGTTCGGATCCCATGTGGAGACCGGTTCCCACTCACTTGCTGAGCACGGTGCGGGCGCAACACCGAGGGTTGCGATCCCGTTACCGGTCAGTAAAAAGAAAAAGACAAAAAAGGAAAAAAAAAAAAAAGAAAAAAGAAAAAAAGAAAACCACGTGCTAGACAGCCAGAGATAAGAAAACTGCCCTTGTACTTCTTAAGCCTAAAATTGCATGCCAATGTCTTGACTTCTGAGGTCCTATAACTGCAAGGCTTCAACTTAGGTGCTATTTATCAATTTTAAGACAACTTTCAATCTCATTCACTTCAGAAATTAAGTGAAAGGACCTGTCAGGATACACTAAACCACCATGACTTATTTTTGAGTGCTTCCTGAAGTTTAAGGTGAGTCAATTAACTCATCAAGTACAAAAGGATGCACTAGCATGTGTAAAGAGATATACTTTTGAAAAATTAGAAAACAAGTATATCACAGTATTTAGCGTGCAACTGTTGCATAGCCGGTTATGGCTGCAGTCAGCCATGCCCCTAAGTGGCAGAACAAGCCCCTAAAAGGGGCATTGTGCCCACTCCACACAGTGACAGAGGCACGGAGAGCACCTACATTGTTAACTTCAGGTGAGAAGAGAGGTCAGAAATTCATTTAGACAAAAAAGTCCTCTTCACCCCATTATTTCAGCAGAAAATGGAGAGATGAAGAGTGGTAGTATATATCAAAAGTACGTACCATGTGTATACTGTAACATTTTCTACAATTTACCTAGAAAGTCACGGTGTTTGTGGTGGGGTGGGGGCAGAGGAGAACTGCAGATTCCCCCTCCTAATCGAAAATCCCCATGGTAAGGAGTTTCCCACCCCCGCCCTGTGCCGACCACCACTGCAGCCTTAGGATTTCTGTTTAGGACAGCAGACTGTGATCTATTCAGAGGTCGTCTACCCTCCCACAGGAAGTTTTTGGATTGAACCTGACCCCATACACAATTAAAGTGGGGTCCAAAAGCTCTGCCAAATTTTCTTTAATTTCATGAATTTTGCGAGAAAGATCTTCAATGTATCATGGGTTCCTAGCGTCTTCTTTCCACCAAAACACACAAAAAGACATTAAAAAGTGTTAATTTTGAATTGGTGTGATGCATTCTTTAAATTTACACAGTATCCTTGTAAAGAAGACAAAATGTTTTATTTATTTTATTTTATTTTTTTTCCTTTTTGTCTTTTTTCGTGTCCGGCAATGGATCGCAACCCTCAGTGTCGCGCCCATACCGGACTGGGACCGGCAACGGGATCGCAACCCTTGGTGCCGTGCCCGCACCTCGCTCAGCCAGTGAGCGGGAACCGGTCTGTATGTGGGATCCGAACCCTCAGCGGGAGCGCCGCCGCACTCCCAAGCAGCGCACTGTAGCAGTGCACCACCGGGCTGGCCCGACAAAATGTTTTAAACGTTAGTCACATTCTTATCATATGACAAGCAGTAAAAACCTCATAATAATCACATACTCTGTGGGAGGAGGGGGGCATCACCCCTCTCCAAGGACAAAACAAATGCAGACCCCAGGGCACCTGGGCGATAAACAACTACATGGTATGACATCATTCCTCCCATTTCAAGGTGTCCCTGATAGAGAAACAGCAGCCCACCGTCCAGGACTTGGTGATTATTACAATGGAAGCAAACAGTGCAGCCTCCAACTGCAGAAGGAAGTGCTTTTTAGCTGACACACTAGAATGACAGTTTTTTTTTTTTTCTTTTTTTCCTTTTTGTCTTTTTTTACTGACCGGCAACGGGATCGCAACCCTCGGTGTCGCGCCCATACCGGGGACCGGCAACGGGATCGCAACCCTCCGTGTCGCGCCCGCACCGCGCTCAGCCAGCGAGCAGGAACCGGTCTCCACATGGGATCCGAACCCTCGGCGGGAGCGCCGCCACGCTCCCAAGCCGCGCACTCTCCAGTGCACCACTGGGCCGGCCCTAGAATGACAGTTCTGATTTAATTCCCAAACTGTCACAGTACACCCCACTCACTTCACACCCATCTCTGTACCCTTCAGAATCCAGAACAGGAGGAGAATCAGAGCAGCCAAATGACCCACTCTAATAATGCAAGCAAACACACCTCTGAGCCATTGATAAGAGTTTCTCATACAGTCACAAACCTCTTGGCAGACACCTATTCTGTCTAGTGAAAAGTACTCTTGGCACATTTGTGCTTAGAACTAAATTTAAATGTTCCCTGTACAGTGCTATCCTATCCTTTATTAACAAACTTCAAGAGAGCTGCATTGCTAATGTCACAAATACTAAGCCCACTTGAGCAGATAAACTCAAAACAATCCTGCGCTGGTATAAACATTCAATGAAGTCACAAAGAAAAGGTGCTTTGCTAGCTACAGCTAAAGAGAACCTGACAAAGCCTGGGCTAACGTGAGTTGTGAAAAATATGAGCCCCTCAAGCTGGGCCCAGGTCGACCCTGATTGAAAAGCCATGATACTGAGATTAAGGGGCTGCCTGTGGCTGATGACCCACAACTGGAGATCACCTGGACACTCCACACTCAGACGCCAGCATATTTCTATAACAGTCTAATCACGATTCTCCCCAGCTTAAAAACCCTCCAACCTCCAGGCAGGTCCCGGACGCCCAGCCCCGCCCAGCCCCCCAGGAAGCCTCCTTCCGCAAGCACTTCAGGGCTCTGGAGATCTGGGGGCTTCAGGTCACGCACTTTGGAACACCCAAACTCCCCGACCAGCGCTCTAACTGCTTTTTTCTAGGCCGGTCTTACAAGGGATTCAGCTCAAGGACAGTTACTGTGCGTGTGTGGGTCACCGCCATGCCCAGCTCCTTGTACCACAGGTGGGATAAACGAATGAAGAATGCCCACCCGCAGGCCTGGAGGGCGTAGGAACGGAAGCAGCTCACTTCAAAAGCAAATGCTAAGCAGTCGTTTTTGACAAGGCCTTCCCTTCGCGCCTTAAGGCATGAAATCGCCCCAAGTGTTCGCTGCTGCACCTGGAACTCCCGGCTCCGAATCTCAGCCTAGCGGGGCGACCACTGGTGCCGAGCTCGCCGAGGCGGGGGCCGCCCCGCATGGTCACTCGCAAGGAGC